AGAATGAACCTAACAGCATTAATCAATAGCGTTTTATAAGTCAAGACATATAATAGTTATCCAAGCTTCTTCCTCTACAGTGTTTTGGCAATTTGGTCCTATGCATGTTCATATAAATCATACATTCAGTTTGTCAAGTTGTTCATACACACACACACACACACACACACACACTCACATACTCGTTTGGGTTTTTTTTGCTTGCTATCAAATTTATTTGAGTGATTTTTCTTCTGCCATTTTTCATAAATGTGCCTAAAGATCTGAATTTAAAAAGCAACAGAAACCTCTTGGGAAAACGCATGCAAGAGCAGGGCTTGTCCACACGCCTGGAGTCCTGAAATAGCTGTTCACCCTGTTTTCCCTAATCTTGACTTGTTAGTAGGAGCAGCTCTCACATTGGGGTTTTTCCCATCCCCTGTCCCAAACCTCTGACTCTGCTCACTTCTCTTAACTCCTTCTTTTCCCTCAGTAAAGCACAAAACCTGGCAGCTACCATGGAGAACTTGTTTGCCTCCACAACTGTCTCTCACCCTAAATGCTTCCCAGGCTGAATTATTAATGGAAAGCACAGGAGAGAGGGCGGTGTGGTGAGATCAAGAGTTGGCCCCTGGGTAAGCACATTCTTAGAAAAACTGAGTGTGTGGTTGGCTCCTGGGTCACATCAGTTTCTAGCCTGCCACACGAAGGTCCTGCTTGACTTGAGAAAAGAATTCTGTTGGGAATGATTCATCAGCTGCACCTTCTTCCCTCAACAGCACCCACATTTCAGCCCAGGCAGCTGGCTGTTCAACCAATTTCACCGCCTCTCTAGAGTCCACTACCAATTTTCTACCTTAGACGATTCCTGTAGCTGTGACTCGTCTTTCTGCCTCACCTCTAGTTCCATATTCTGCTTCAGCCTGCAAGGGCTCCAGGCCCCTGCCATCCTTTTCATTAGCCCCTGAAATTCAGCTTGGAATCCAGATGATGAGAAGTAGTAGACAACGGGGTCAATGCAGGAGTTCAAGGAGCTGAGGAGCAACACAAAACCTCTCCATTCCGGGCTTTTACCCTGGACAAAGCCCACTACATGAGACACATTGTAGGGCCCGAAGCAGACAAGGAAGTTGAGCAGTGTGGCTGTCACAAGGCCTGCTCCCTCCTCCACCAGTGATGACTGGAGCTTCTGCTGAGGATCCACAGCAGGCGACTATAGCAGTAAATGGTGATGAGCAGAGGCACGGCAAAAAGGACCACAGCCATCTCCAGTCGGACAGGCAAGAGAACCTTCAGCTGGGACTCCTTGTACTCCAGGTAGCAAGTTGCATTGCCATGTGAGTTCTCTTTGAAGTCCCCAGATAATTCAGTGACATAGACCACACTTCAGTGACCAGCAGCCAAGAACCAGCAGATCCCACTGATTAGACTGGCCTGTCTTAGCCTTGGCCAGCTCTTGTACCATAGAGGGTAAGCTACACCCAGGAAGCGCTCAATGCTCACAGCTGCCAGGAAGTGGGAGGCGAGGTAGATGGCGGTGAAGAAGAGGAATCTGGAGAGAGGACAGAGCATGAAAGGCAGGGGCCAGCACATGCCGTTGGCAGCCTCCACCATACGGAATGGCAGAAAGAGCAGCAGAAGAAGGTCCGAGAGGGTCAGGTTGAGCAAGAACACATCTACAGCTACCAGGTGATGCCGCAGCTTGTCCACAAAGATCACAAGGGCCATCAGGTTGAGCAGGAAGGTGAAGACGTACATCGTTTGGATTTTGATCAGAACCGTATTACACCTAAAACGCTACAGTTGTTGTTAAGTGCTGTTGAGTCGATTCGATCCATAGTGACCCTGTATAAGGTTTCTGAGGAATAGCTGGTGAGCTTGAACCACCAACCTTGCGATTCAAACGACTTTGCAGTCTGATGCATTAGCCCACAGCGCTACACCAGGGATCTAAAAGAAAAGTAACTAAGGGAAAATTTACGTTTTTTATAGTATGGCAGCCTGCATCCAAAAAACTATGATTTCTATGTACACTGATCTTCTTTACTGTCCCTTAATAACATTTTGTAATTGTTCCTGTATTAGTTTACCACATACATAGTCTGTTAGATTTAGTCCCAGATACTGATTGTGACCGCCTATTACCTTCTTCCACACTGCTACTAGAGTGTGATAGTTCTGAAACTCAATTTTGATTAGGTCACAACCGTTTAACTCTATCAATGATCCCTGTTCAGAGGGTCAATTCCAAATTCCTTATCATGGACACACACCTGACCTTAACTGACTTTTCTAGCCTCGCTTTCTTTTATATGGCCTATCCTCCAAACATTCCCAGCTGTCTCCTTCCAGGTCTCTAGTCATGCCCTTCTCTCCACCTGGGATGATTTCATCCATCTCCTTCTGAGGGTTTCTACTATTTTTCAAGATCTAGAAAAATAAGACTGTCCTGAGAAATGCTTTCCTGATCCCTTAAAAAGAACCAGTTGTTTTTCTTTTAGCTGTATCTCAAAATGTAGGTAATATGCAGATACACAGAAATAGTAGGAAATTGTTTAAAGTAGGAGAAAACACTAAAAACAAAATACTGGGGCAAAAGAATACAAGGAATTTAATTTTGCTAAAGTATAATAGGTATATTGGTATCAAACCACATAATGGTCTTCCCACGGCTTCAGATTAAAGATTTAGTGTAGTGACAAAGAGACAGCAAAGACTTTTAGACACAATCAAAGCTATTCTTTGAAAGGAAGATTAATCTGGCCATGACATATGATGAACTGGTTGGAGGTAGGAGGAGGATGGGAATGAAGGTGTGGCACTTAAACACTGGCCTGGTAACCTGAAGATCAGCCGTTCAGATGAACCAGTGACTCTCTGAAACCCTAATAAAGGGTCACTATGAGTCACTAACTCGACGATACACACTCAGAAAACTTACAATAGCCCAATTTAGAAGCAATAGAAACCTGAATTAAGGCAGCAATAAAGATAATAAAGAATGTTAAGACACCAAAAGGTAAAACTGATAGAATTTGAAAACTAATTCCTTAATGAAAGCATGAGAGAGAAAATCCAATGTAACATTAATGTCATAAGCATGAGTGAGATAATTATAATGCCAATAATAAATTTAGATGTGGGTTTCAAAAATATGATGGGAGATTAGGAGGTAATAATGTCTAACTGATTACTGGAAAAGTATAACTTAAAGGGCAGACTGCAGTTGGGAAATATCTTTATCTTCAAATAGGTAAGAACTAAAATTACTGAGAACAGCAAGAAGAAAATTGAGGACTAAGCCTTAGGAAACACCTATATTTAGGTAAGTGAAGGTAGGAGAAGCTTGGGAAAGATAGAAATGGAGGAACCACAAGAGGAGTGACTCAGTACACGTTAGTAAACGCACGAACAGAAGAATTTCTAGAAAAAAGAAGGCTGCTGCAAGAGGGGGTGAAGAAAGGTGAGGAGTATGGAACTCTCTGGAACGTAACAATGTTAACAAGGAGAGGAATGATGAGCATCAGTATGGGATACGGATTGAGTGTTTTAAACCAGTGGTCCCACAGGAAGGTTTCTGAAACAATTCATTTTAAAAACTGCATGACTATTTAAATGAATCATTTAAAAATTTCCATTTGTTTGGTGTATGTTTATAATGTATGTGATACAACGGTTAGAGAAGACAATTTACCTAGGTTTCTGTTGACATAACTATTTAGACAAATTCTAAGGTAAGTAATTTATCTAAGATTAAATGCTGCTGGAATAGAACACAAAAACATCTTCTTCAGAAAATACTGTCTTTAATCTCTAATAGTAGTAATTAAAATTATTTCAGTCTCCCATTCATCTGTGCTTTTACTATAGATTTTGTATCTGCCAAAATAAATGTCAATTAATGTTTTAAAACATAAAGCAAAGGTAAAATTTCTGACTTATCTTCAGTTTCCTTTAAAAAGGTAAAATACCGGAAATAGGACAATCTACAAACTTTGAAATTATTTAACTAAAATACAAAGGTACTTTGAAGGATCAAGATTTTATGTATCTAAATAATTTTTCTAAATTGTTAATGGAAAAATTAAAACAAACTGAAAATACTGAAAGCAGAAAGGTTTCCAGACTATCTAATAATGTGCACAATCCATGCCAGAATCTCAGTCAGCAAACTTTAAATAAGATTGATCCGTGTAGACAAGTACTACAGAATGAAATTTGCTCAGAATACCAATAAGATTAATTCTAACTAATTTAAAGTCAGTTTGTATAAAGTTCCCTTTTCAGAATGACAACTATAAACTCCCAAAGGAAAATTAGGATTTAAAGAACATTTATAATGTTTTCACATACACAATAAGGATGAATATGATAAATATGATAAAACTTAAATAGCACTGGTGGTGATGGGCTGCTATAACCACCAGTCAGCAGTTCAACCCACCCAGCTGCTCTTCAAGAGAAAGATGAGGCTTTCTGCTCCCATGGAAATTTATAGTCTGAGAAAACCCTATACAGGGTCACAATGAATTGGAAACCAACTCAATGGCACCTAACAACAACAATATAATATAGCTTTAAAAAGATAAACCAGAAAACAATTGAGCCTTAAAATTAATTAAATGTCAACACATAGGGTCTTTGTTAAAATACCTTATGAGAAACTTCAAAGACATCTTTCATATGCTGTGTGATAAAAACACATATTTGTCTACATTTAAAACACTGTCAATAGTTTTCTTAAGTCACAAAATAAAGACAAAAAGACAGTGGATAATACAATTTTCTGTGATAGGACATACTGCTAATAGTAACTTACTAAACAACCAAAGCTCACAGATGGATGAATTAACTCTTCCTCTGACAACCTGTTCCTAAAGGTTGCAATAAAGCCCTTTAAAATTTAACACATGGCTATACTAAAAAAATATTGTTATAAAGTAAACACTTAATCTGAAAATGTTGATTTTTTTCCCCTCTTTTCAATTTACTCTTTTATATGATTCTTTAAACTGACTTACCAAGATTTACATCGGGTAGTATTTTATCAAGAAATTGTGTTTCCCCACCATTAGGGGAGAGAAAATCTGCCAGAAGTTGACTGTTACTTAATTCTGGATGCTGCAGAAGTTTCTTGAATAAATATAAAGAAGAAGAAGAAAGAAAAAAATAATTTAAAACTCTAGAAAGGTGATCAAAATTATACTGAAATGACTTTTAAAAACTAAAAATCAATTTTAAACTCCAAAGGACAATCTAATTTTCAGGAAAAAGGTTGGAGTTATAAAGTGATTAGCATAGCAGAGTAAGACCTCAAATGTACTTGAGTTCTGACTCTTCCATTTGCTAACTAGGTGATCCTAGAAAAGCAAATAACTCACCCGAAAGTCAGTTTCCTCATCTGTAAAATGGGATAACACTACCTACTTCATATTGTTGTATAAAGCATTTAGCACAGTACTTGAGATTCACCAAAATTAGAATAAGCATCAACTAATATTATTTCCCAGTTTCTCAACTATAAAGTGAGTCTTACAATATATAACTTTCTTGATAATTAAAAGAAATCAATAGAAAGGACTTTTCAGAAAGCTAAATACGGAAATGTGAAATAATTATTTGGAAATTCTGTTGTCTACTATTTCTGTATTACTATTTTCTTATAAAACAAACAGATTTTTAAAGCCAAAATTAACAGCCTTACCGAATATTTCAGTTTGTAACTATTTCATAGTTTAAAACTTTATGAAGACAAATCTGCAAAAACAAAGTATCAGTACCATATCCACTACCACCTAGTTGATTGTGACTCATTGCAACTCTACAGGGCAGAATAGAACAGCCCTGTAGGATTTTTAAGGCTGTAAATCTAACAGAAGCAGATTGTCCCATCTTTCTCAGGTGGAGTGGCTGGTGGCTTTAAACCATTAATGTTTTGGTGCACAGCTGAGTGATTCTCAACCATCAGTACCAACTATACAAATTTAACTTTATACAAAGTACAAATTTAACTTTATACAATCAGAATAAAAAAAAATTTAATAACTGTTATTCCTCCAGCCAATAAAAATATTTCTTTTTAAATGAAGCTCTTTAATTCTTAGAATTAATCTGTGCAAATAATTTGTTAATAATATCAACAAAGACAAACAAACAATAATATGAGAGGGCTTCAAAAAGTTTACAGAAAAAAATCAATTAAAAGATCATGCAATTTCTTCATGAACTTTTAAAAGCCCCCTAGTATATGCTGTGTTCAAACACTCATGTAATAATTAAGTTACTTCACATTTCAGTTCATACCACTAAAAATATTATATAGTATTTTCTGGGTTAAAAACATTCAACTGCTTAGGAACAGAAAATAAAATTTAAATACTCTTTTAGATAGTTGAATATTTTTAATTTAGAAAAGTATGTAGTTTTCACTGAAGAGCATCCAAATTTTACTCAATTTGTTTTTAATTAAAAACTACTAATTACCATCTCTAAGGCAACTTCCTTTTTTAAAACAAATAAAAGTATTCTCTCTTTAGTCTTATTCATTTGATAAAAAACGATGGTAATTAGTTTTAGAGATCAAGTCTCAAGTAATTTTTAGAATGATTGCCCCATCTACTGGATTAATATACCAATTACACTATTTTAACAATGCAATGTGCACACACTGAGGAAAACATGGTAATTCAATTCCAAGAAGTGAATGAAGAGACCTCAAATATTGGAAAATCATCCATATATGACAAAGGAAGAACGGGGGAAGATGCCAAAGTTCAGAAAGTGCTATAAGCAAAACAAAATCAAGCAACAAAAGAAGACAAATCAATCGTAACAAAACCTCCACAATATCTCACACCAATCTTATTATCTTAATATCTTATTCCAAAAGTTTTTCTTTCATTTTTTTTCCTTAATTTCCCACATAACAAATTTTAACTAAGACCATCACATTTTTCTCTGTAACAAAATAACTGGTATTTTATTGATTATCAATTTAAAAAATAAACAAATAGAATTCTGTTGTCCAAAATCCATTTTAAAATTCACATGAAAAAACAGATATTTTAAAAATTCCCATGGACAGGCATTTGTAAAAGCATATCTATGCAAGAAAAAAAGAGACAACCAAATAAAAGAATGCAATGATTAACAATATTTCAAATTAAATGATACAGTTAGTGCTATACCTGTAGATATTCCTGAAATTCTTCTCTCTTTGACTTTAAGAATTCATAATTTTTGGGGCCAATGATCCTCTTGGAAGGAAGTTGGGCATCAGGAAATGTGCCTAAAATTAGTATATACTGAAGTTGTTACTATGCTCCTGCTTTAAATTCTTTGTCTTCCTGTGATATTCCCCTTGTTACAGATGCACAATGCTTCCTCCTCATAGTATTACATTCTCCTTTAAGCAATCTTCATAAAATCATAGCACTTCAAGTCAGAAGTCCAAACCAGAGAGAGATCTTGAGCCAATACTGACATCCAAAATACTATTCTCTCTCAACAGTCACTCTTCCTTGACAGATTCATTTACACTTTTATACTATTGAAACAGCTTTAAATTTTATGGAAAGATTATTTTTAAATGGGCAAGAGTTCTGCAAAACAAGATCTTTAAAGAAATGGCTTCTCCCTCATAAAAAACAGGTAATATTTTGTCAATGCTATTATGATGTAAAAGGAGCTCTGGTATCATAGTGTTACGACTCAGGCTGCCAACCTCAAGGTCAGCAGTTCAAAACTATCAGCTGTTCTGCAGGAGAAAGATGAGGCTTTCTGCTCCCGTAAAGATTTACAGCCTCGGAAACCCTGTGCACGGTCACTCTGAGTCAGAACCAACTCCACAGTACTTAACAACAACATTATGATGTAAAAACACAACATCATACTTTCCTAAATAAGGCTGATTTAGAAATCTTAGTATCCAAAAGGAACAATATTATTGGGAGTCCAAGTAACTTTGGCTGATCTGGGATTTTAAAGTTTGGAGATAATATACCTTTTATCAGTCATAAATCAGTATTGAAGTTCTCAGAAAGAACATGACAATGGTAGCATTGCATACGATTGGCAGAGACAAAGAAAAACACCATTTGAAGACAAGTACAAATTCAAAATCAAGGAAAAACAATGGAGTAGAACAGAGTCCTGATGTGGTGCTGTAGGATAAGCACTGGACTGCAAGGTCAGTTTGAATGGTAAGGTTGGCAGTTCAAACCAATCAGCTGCTCCTGGGAAACTCTATACAGGGTCGCTGTGACTCAATGGCACTTAACTACAACAGATTCTTTGTCGTCCTGTGATGATCCCCTTGTTACAGACTTAGTTCATATTTTATTGTTGTTCAATATCATCGAGTCAATTCATGACCCTGTACAGGGCTTTCAAGGAGCAGCTGGTGGGTTTGAACCAATGACCTTACAGTTACCAATCTGGTGTTTACTCTACAGTGCCACACCAGGACTCCTAAATGCATAAGCAGGATAAAAAAGGTTTCTGCTTCTTTCTCAATTCAAAATAAATCTAAATTTAGATCAAAGAGCACGCTATAGAGCTTTTCTAAAACAAAAAGACTCAGAGCACTCATAACAAATTAATCTACATACAAAATGGCTGGAAATACTTCTTAACTATAGCACTTACATTAACTAAAATAAATAAATAAGTGAGAGTAAAAGAAACAACTAATAAAAGAAAGGATGTTTTCCCTTTCCAACTGATCAACCCTCAAGAGAAACATTCAACTATAAGAGCCAAAGCAGTGAGCATTTCCCATGATGCAAAGGAAATATGTTTAGTCAGGAAGGCAATGACAGCAACTTTGAAGTGCCTGGTTTAAATTCTTTGCCACCTAAAGATATATAGATTGGTTGGTTATGTACTGTGGAGTCAGTTCCAATTTATAGCGACCCTGCATAGGGTTTCCGAAGCTGTAAATCTTTATAGGAGCAGAAAGCTTCATTTTTCTCCCACAGAAAAACCGGCAGTTTTGAACAGCTGACCTTGAAGTCAGCAGCTCATCTCATAACCACTGCACTACCAAAAATAAATTAGAGAATCTTTTCTAAATTCTTATTATTTAAAAAAACCAAAACCTTTTAGAATACTGATAAGCAAAGATAAGAAAGTAAAAGAGTACATTCCAATTATTCACTATGCACATCATGTTCTTAGGTGCCACTGTGTCAACTCCTGCTCACGGTGACCTTATGTATAACAGCAAAATGCTTTCTGATCCTGGGTCCTCTTCAGAATTGTTTCAGTCCATTGTTACCACTACTGGGTCAATCTACCTCACTGAAGATTTTCCTCAATTTTGTTAGCCCTCTGGTTTACCAAACATGATACCCTTTTCCCCCAAGAGTTTGGTCTTTCCTGATGACAAATCCAGAGTAAATGAGACTAACTCTCATCACCTTTGCTTATAAGGAACATTCTGGTTGTATTTTTTTAAGACTGACTTGTTCTTTCTTTTGGCAGTCTACATAATTGTTGTTGTTGTTAAGCACCTTCAAGTTGGTTCCAACCCATAGTGACCCTGTCTAGGATTTCCAAGGAGCAGATGGTAAGCTCATCGACCTTGCAGTTCAAATGGCTTTGAAGTCCAGCACATTAACCCACAGCGCCACACCAGGACTCCAGTCTACATCATAGTGCTTATCAATTACAGTGTACATAAATAAGTAACATTGTTAAATTTCTTTGCCAGATTCTTAAAAATCAAAAAACAAATTTGGCATATTAATTTTCAAGAAGGCTAATGGTAAAATGTGGAGTTCTGGTATGGCACTGTGGGCAAATGTGTCAGACAGCAAAGACATTTGAACTGCAAGGTCAGTGGTTCAAGCTCACCAGCTGCTCCTTGGAAACCCTATACAGGGTCACTATGGGTCAGAATCGACTCAACGGTACTTAACAACAACGGTAAAATGTAAAGCTTTATTTAAAAAAAAAAGAAAGAACTTACCATGAAATTCTGTCAGTTTTGATTCAAGTACATAGAATTCAAGGTATCTTCTATAGACGGACCAATGTTCCGGCTCATGTCCCACTATAAATTGGAAGAATGTACACTGAATAACAAATAATGTTATAAGCTACTACTAAAAAATACAATATTTAAAACATTAAGTATATAAGGCAGGAAATTATTTAAGTCTTAATAATTTATTATTATTTTAAATCACATCATTAACATTTTTATCCCATATTTTAATTTCAAATTACTTATTGTTGTTGTTGTTAGGTGCCATTAAGTCAGTTCCAACTCATAGTGACACTTTGAACAGCAGAATAAAACACTGCCCAGTCTGGCACCATCCTCAAAATTGTTACGTTTGACCCCATTGCTGCTGCCACTGTGACAATCCATCTCACTGGGGGGTCTTTCTCACTTTTGCTGACCCTCCCCTTCACTTTACCAAGCATAATGTCCTTCTCCAAGAACTTATCTCACCATCCTGGCTTCTAAGGAGTATTCTGGCTGGACTTCTTCCAACACAGACTAGTTTGTTCTTCTGGCATTCCATGGCACTTTTAATATTCTTCTCTAACACCATAACTCAAATGTATCAATTCGTCTACAGTCTTCCTTGTTTATTGTCCAACTTTCACAAGCATATGAGACAGTGAAAATACCATGGCTTGGATTAGCCTTTACACTGGTATCTTTGCTTTTGAACACTTTAAGGCGGTCTTGTGCCACAGATTTGACTTAGGCAATATATCTTGGCTACTGCTTCCATGAGTGTTAGATGTGATTCCTTACTAGAGGCTGGTAAATATCACATATTTATGAAGTTATTCAAGAATATACTTTTTAAACAATGTAATCACAGAGTTGGAAGAAACTTCAAGAAATTAAACTATTTTAAATGATTCTGAGTTAATATAATAGCTAATGATGATGATAACCAAATTATTAAAAAACACACTAGATAAAATGCCTCACTGGATTGTCAGGTGTCACATATGGTTGAATGGATGAATTAAATAACTGGTAATTAGAGAAAATTTAAGCTTTCTTTCAATTTTCTGTTCTGAACACGTAACTAATTTTAGATATGGAAGCAGACCCAATAGCTAGAAATTCTAAAATGTTTATCATACCTAGTAACTAAAGACTCATGAGCATCTTTTAAAAAAGGCATACATCAAGATTCCTACCTGCTCTTCTATCATTTCTTTCAACATCAATACAAAACACAGGAATTCTCTCCTTTTTCTCTCTCCTTTCAGAGGAGGGATCCTCAAAAAAGTCAACATATGGAATGCTAATTTTCCAAGCAGCCAGGTTTCGAGGAGTATTGGGTGTGCTAATAGCCTCTGCAGGAGAATCATCTTCCATTACAACAATACCTTCTTCAATCTGGAAAATAATCATCAGGATGAATTTAATATTTCTAGTAACTTTAGAATTACCATAGCATTTGAGATATAACTCTAAAACAGTGTATCTGTATCAATTTTATAATGCTTATGACTTAAGAAATTAGGAGGTAATTTCTAATTTTCTAAAGAGCTCTGGTAGCGTAGTGGTTACAAGTTGATAATCTCAAAGTCAGCAGTTTGAAACTACCACCTGTTTCACAGAAGAAATGTGAGGCTTTCTGCTCCCAAGAAAATATACAGCCTCGGAAACCCTATGTAGGGTCGCTTTGAGTAGGAAATCCTATATACGGTGTCTATGAGTTGGAACCAACTCAACGGCCCTTGACAACAACAATGGTCACCCATGTTGGATAGATTTTAGCAGAGCTTCTAGACTAAAACAGAATAGAAAGAAGAAGAGACAGACTACTTCTAAATGGTTGGCCACTGAAAACCTTATGAATAGCAACAGAACACTGTCAAATATAGTGCTAGAAGATGAGCCCCTCTGGTTGGAAGGCACTCAAAATCTGACTGGGGCACAGCTGCCTCCTCAAAGTATAGCTGACCTTAATGAAGTAAATGGAGCAAAGCTTCTGAAACCTTAATTCACTGATGTGGCACAACTCAAAATAGAAAGAAACAGCTGTAAATATCCATTAATAATCAGAATGCAGAATGTGTGAAGTTTTAATCTAGGAAAATTGGAAGTCACCAGAAATGAAACTGAACTCATAAAGATTGACATCTAAGCATTAGTGAGCTGACGTGACTGGTACAGGCCATTTTGAATCAGACAATTATATGGTTTACTATGCTGGGAATGACAAATTGAAGAGGAACCATGTCACATTCACCAAAAATAACAAGGAGGAGCTGGTGGGTTTGAATTGCTGACCTTGCATTTAGCAGTCCAGTGCTTATCATATAACACTCCACCAGGACCCCTAATTCGTGTTAAAGGGAGCAAAACATTATAGATAAGCAATTTCTTCTCAAACATACTTTTTTTAAGGCACATTGCAATAATCAAAGAAAATGTTACCTTGTAGGACTTAAGAAATTCTGAAGCTGCTGTTACTGAAGTGCAAGTGACCCTGTATAGGGTTTCCAAGGAGCAGCTGGTGTCTTTGAACCACCAAGCTTGCAGTTCAAACTGATCTTTCAGTTGAGTGCTTATCTTACAGCACCACACCAGTAAAGAGAGATTATTTCCAACATTCTGTCAACTACCTAACTCTTGGTTCTCCTTGCCTCACACACCTGGTCCCTACTACTAACTTAAGTGAATTCTGCGCATCATGCCCTCCACAAAGCCCCTGGCAATTATCCCAATTTTGTTGTTCTTATCCCAACCTGGTTTTCAATGATCCTCAATAAGACTGGTAATGCTTTTGAGAGGACTTCTTAATGTTCTGTTGGAAAAAAAAAATGTCTTCAAAGCCTAAAAGAAAAATGCTATAAAAACAGATGGTGGGTTTTGTCTTTTGTGGGACAAAGTCACCTCCTTCTAAGTCTAGAAGAAAAAGCAGCAAGTGTAAGGGGAACTCCCACTTAGGATTGGAGCCTCTGTTGCAAGGTAACATTTTCCATGATTATTACAATTGTATTTTTGTTAAAAGATCTGGCTTCTGAGGAGAAAGGGTAAAATGGATCAGAAAATTATAAAGCGTTTCTTAAAAATATAAGACCTTTTTAAAAAAAAAAAAAAAGGAATGATCTCATAGTCAATCTAAGAAACAAATGGAGAACAAATTCATAGCAACATAAAAATATCAGTGAGAGACAAAGTATAAAAGTCTAATAATTTATTACCATTACCATTTAAATGGTGTTTACACAGCTAAGTCTAATAAAAAATATCTAGGGCAATATTTCTCCATGAATTTTCAAGGTTTTCTTTAGTTTTGTTTAAGAATCTGTAAACACTGATTAAAACAAAGCAAAAAAAGAATAAGGAAAACAAAATTCCTATTTTGTTCCTAAATAGATACTTGCTCCCTCCATGAAAAGGTTGGGGAATTAGGGAGGCAGACAATGAAGAGGGAGGAGACATCACTCTTTCCTTGAGGAATACTAATGCTTCTTCTTATTCTCTTTTACTATATGGAGATAACTGCCAACTTACCAATATGCATACCATGTTGCAAATGCTTATTTATAAATTAGTTCTGGACTTGGATAGAAATGTATTTCAGTCAAATCCAACCTTACATACTGGGATCAGATTTCCAAGCCAGCATAAGAATGTCAATTTACCCTATATTTTACATTCAGTGTAATTATAAATTGATGGTATTATAATAGTTACAGTGTTTACTGTGCTTATTATGTGCTAGGCACACTGGTCCAAGTGCTTCACATATGCTACCTGTTTTACCCTGACTGTATCCCTATATATGGAATCCTGGTGTGGCGCTGTGGGTTAATGCACCAGACTGCAAAGCCGTTTGAACTGCAAGGTCGGCGGTTCAAGCTCACCAGTCACTCCTCGGACACCCTATACAAGGTTGCTATGAGTTGGAACCAACTCGATGGCACTTAACAACATACCCCTATATGAACTTTTTATCTCCAATGTCTAGGGTGATTTAAAGGTAAAATGAGGATTCAGGACCTCTGTTCAATAAAGATTTGTTAAACAAATTGAAAGTACAAATGAGACATCTCTGTCTTCCTGAGACTCACTAACTGGAAGAGTAGCCAATCATAAACATGTATTTTCAAATCCAATATAGTATATGCTTTTACATATGATATGGTAGAAGTACAAAGGAGAAAACATTCTGTTTGATTCAGGGATTCATGTAAGGGCTTACAGGGGAAGCAGATATATTGTGAAGTGTTTTGGTAATGCACTGATTAAAGCACTCAACTGACAACCACAATGTTGGTAGTTCAAATCCACCATAGGAGAAAGATGTGGCAGCCTGCTTCAGTATAACAAGATTTATAACCTTGTTAGCCCTATGGGCCAGTTCTAATCTAACCTATAGGGTCGGTCACCATGTTGGAATCAATGGGACAAAAGTGGAAGCTGTATTTTGAAAGATAAGTAAGAATTTTGTAAGGAAAAAAGGAAGGAAAGAAATTTCAGGCAGCATATCAAGTGCAAAGGTAAACAGAAATAACAAATAGGAGTAATGTGCATATGAATCAACTGGAATGGGGCTTGAGATTCTGCATTAACTCCCAGGTAATGTTACTGCTGTTACTGATCCACAGACCACAGTCTGACAATAGACCACAGAGATTAGGGCATCTCTATTAACAACTCTACGTTCCAAAGCATAAGATTGGAGAGAATGAATATCAGGGGAAAGTCTAACGAACAAATGTTCAATTACTTGACTACTGGAAGTATCTCGGCCTAATGGAAACTATTCTGCCTGATCAAACAACAACTTAGCGCTCAGGAATTTTAAAAATTAGATTAGCACCATGAAACTATAACTAATGAAAAAATGAGGAAGTAAGAAGACATAAAGAAGGACATAGTGAATGAGCATATCCAATGTTTTATGCCACACATAGTACACATGAGGCTATACATACATCAGGTTGAAGAGTTTTTACTTACAAAATCATCTTCACCTTCAGCTGTCCCGTAATTAGGCAACATTGCTCCTTCCATTGTGGTGCTCTTGAATACTCCTTTAATTTTGCTACCTATTCGGCTGATGGCAAATGATTCTCCTCTTTTCTGGGTACTCCTAAATATTAAACAAAAATGTATCAAGTACATAGCAAATTCTCACATGTTTATTTTGCTCTAGATAGTAATAGAGACAATGAGAAACTGTTTAAAAAACAATAAACTGAAAGTACAGTAAACATAATTTTGGAGTTCTCAAGTTCCAAATCAGGTTTTCACATCTCACAGGCTAAAATTCAGAGGGTATTTAAAGTTTAAATTTGGGGAGTGAATAAAAGAACAATATTTATTAATCAGTATTTGAAATTATCTACTACTAAATATTAGTGTGAGTCCTGGTGTGGCACTGTGGGTTAATGCACTGGAGTGCAAAGTTTGCAGTTCAAGCTTACCAGCAAACTCTACAGAGGGTTGTTATGAGTCGGAAATGCTGTATATAGGGTCACTATGAGTTGGAATTGACTTGATGGCACATAATAACAATAGCAAACATTAGTATGGCACTGTAGGATAAGCACTGAACTGCTAACCACAAGTGCCATGGTTCAAATCCACCAGATGCTCCTCAAAAACGTGGTAAGTCAGAACCAACTCAATAGCATGTAACAAGAGCAACTCTGCAATGTACATGAAAACATTATTATTATTACTACATTATTATGCTTCATATTTTAGGGTAAGAACTGGAGTGCTTGCTAATCTCAAGGTCTTCAGTTCAAACCCACCCTATTCTGCAAGAAAAAAATGAGACTGTGTGTTCCCATAAAGATTTACAGTTGGGGGGGGGAGCTGCCTTAAACTCACAAAAAAATGTTCAAAACAATATTAACTTGGATCAATTGCTAAAGTACATAGTGCAATAGAAAAAATATATAATTATGACCTCAGAATTTCATTTTTAGGGAACCAAACAACAGAAAAAACTGTCCTTTACTGCTGATAAATGCCTAAAAAGTCAACTTTATAATCATTTAAGTATTCAAAAGAGGAATAAAGTATAAAATTTATCTATTGTAATTTTTAAGTAATAAAAAGGAAGGACAAAATAACAAAAGAAAGGGCTAAAAAGGATAAAAGAAAATGTATTAACTATAAGTTTTTAAAAAATGAATTTATAAAAGTGGAAATAACTGAAAAAAAAACAAATAACATAAGCCAATTATCAGAAAAATCTTCCTTATAGAGTCTAGTGCCATATATATCATAAAATATAAAAATAACTTTTGTTCAACTCAGAAGTCATGCTCACTATGAATATCTGACCTAAAGACAGATGTTGTTGTTGTTAAGTGCCATCAAGTCATAGCGACCCTGTATAGGGTTTCCAAGGAATGGCTGGTAAGCTTCAACCACTGACCTTACAGTTCAAACGACTTTGCAGTCTGACGTTTTAGCCCACAGGGCCACACCAGTACTCCTCCAGATAAAATAAAATATATTTTAATCTAAGAAGGCCTAGTTCAATATATAACAGTTAAAAATGTATTCTTAAAAGTAAAACTAAATTGTTTACTGCAATACTGCAGTAATTATAGAAATTAAAGTATACTGATCCAGTTTACCTAAACCAGTTAGAGATCAAACTGGGTATTTTACATATCAGAGAAGAAAATTCAACTTAAATTATTTTAAAATTGGAAAAATTCTAACAATAAATACTAAGTAGTAAAAGGAGTCCTGGTGTGGTGCTGTAGAATCAGCACTGGAATCCTGAACACCTCAAGGTTGGAGATTCAAACCCACCAGCTGCTCCTCAGAAATCCTATATAAAGACGCTGCAGTGGAGTGGACTCAACAGCACTTAACAACAAATAGTAAAAAGGGTACTTAAACAAAAAAAGTTATTTTATTTTAAAAAGCACGCAAATGGTGTTTTCTGAAAAACCCAAAATAATAAAGTTTTGTCTGAAAGAAAAAAGTTTCTAAACACAAATATGAGTATGTTGACAAAATATTATTAAACTCTCTAGAATCTAGATTTTTTTTAAAGATTATTCTAATCTCTAGATTCCAGATTGATTATTTAAAGGCTGGGATGTTAAAAATATGGCATATGTTAAAAATATCTCATATGTGATTATGCCCAGAAATACAAAAACACTATTACAACTGCTAGAAGAAAAAGAAGCTATTAAACATAAATAATTCTTAAAAGATTTTAGCAAAATCAGTCACTAGGACCAGTTGCCATCAAGTGAATTCCAACTCATGGCAACCCATCAACAGCCTTGAAAAAGTAGATTCTGACTGGCAAAATAAGTAATCAAAATCTCTTAAAACTCAAAACTCAAATTACTTTAAAAAAAAAATATATATATATATATATATATATATATCTCAGGCTTACTGGTCAAAAAGAGAAGAGACTATGGCCTTGACCCCATTTCAGGTCTAGAAAGGAACTCACCCTTGTGGTCCTTTCAGCCAAGCAGTTGATATGTGTATAAGAGGGACAATGACACTAATAAGGTATGCTCACCAGTACGGCAACGTTTGCCTCAGCACAAAGGTGAGAAGGGATGGCAAGGAGAGTGGAATGCAAATAGGAACTACAGGAGGATACAGGAGAACCGCTGTTACATGGAGGGAATTACAATCACTGAGATGAAACAAAGTGTCTATAAAACTGATGATCTTGTCTGTAATGAAAAGTTCTGATACTTTTAAGAGATTTGGATTATTTGTTTTACCAGTCAGTATTTATACATGGAGTCCTGGTGTGGCGCTGTGGGCTAATGCGCCAGACAGCAAAGCCATTTGAACTGTAAGGTAAGCGGTTCAAGCTCACCAGCTGCTCCTTGGAAACCCTATACAGGGTCACTATGGGTCAGAATCGACTTGACAGCACTTTACAACAACATTTACATATGTGAGTTCTGGTGAGGTGGTGTAGGATAAGCACCAGAATGGTAACCGAAAGGTTGGTAGTTCAAACCCATCAGTCGCTCCTCAGAAACCTTTATTAGGGTCACAATGAGTTGGAACTGAGTCGACAGCACTTAACACCAACAACATACGTATGTATGCTACATATATTTTAAAAAGGAGACTTCTAGACTCAAAATAGAGGCTAGTTTTAAATGGATATTGCAAAGCATCTTAAAGGGGTATTTATTCCACAGTGTTTATATATATATATTCTTTTTTTTTTTTTCCTTCCCTTTTCTGGTGTACACAAATTGCTTTGGGTATATTTCCTGGGCCTAAAGAGAAAATGTATACCGAAAAAAAAAAATCACATGCTGTCTCAACACTTACCGAAAATCATCCAAACTTAGGCTACCTCTTCAATAACAGACATGTGACATTATTTAAAGAAAGGAGAGAGAGAAAACCCAGACATTAAAAGGTTTCATTGTAGAAAACAAACAAAATTTAAAATCCTAAAAGCATTTTTGCCTGCCTGAAGGCATACCACTTGTTTTAATATAGTAGAACGTATACAGAGACTAAGCCACCCAAGACCTGGCAGTCCATATACTCCAACATGGAATTCACATGTTCATATTAGATATATAATAATGCATGCTTCACACATTTTAAATTTACGTATTTTAAAAATCTTTTTTAAGTTAAGAAGCAAAGCTAACAAAAGATAACTAAATTTAAATTTTAAAAATATATATATGCATCAGAACAAAGAACAAAAGAATACTATAAATGCATTAAAATTTTACTTTTGATAAACAAAATGTAGCCATATAGTATATAAATATAAAATATTTTACATAGTTTAAGTTACTTGACAGTAAATTATCAAAGCTATTCTAAATGTTCAATGAAATAGTGTTAAAAACTTCTTTTATTTATTCAATATTGCTACTTGAATCATTATACAGAAGCAGAGTCCTCAGAAGATTGATAGTTAATATTAAAGTTAATCAATACAAAGAAAAACAATTTAAGTCCTGGTGTGACACTGGAGGATAAACACTGGACTGCTAACTAAATGGTGAGCAGTCCAAATTCACCAGTGGCTCCTTAGAAACCCTAGACAAGGTCACTAAGAATCAGAATAAACACCAGTAACAATAATCAGTATGGATGAAAGGAACCCACATCTTTTTTGTCATTTATTTTAGTGCTGTAATATGTTGAAGACAATTATGTAATCTCAAAGTGACCAAAAAAGCTTTCCATATCTGCAGTTATGACCTTGACTAAGATTTAGCTACTATTAGGCTTCTAATATCAAAGAACCAATTCTCTTAAGTGTTCCTACATAAGAGTTTAATAATACTCAACAGGAGCTCTGGTGTGGCGCTGCGGGTTAATGTGCTGGACTGCAAGGTCAGTTTGAACCACTAGATCAGTGTTCAAACTCACCAGCCGCTCCTTGGAAACCCTATACAGGATTACACTGAATTGGATCAGACTTGACGGCATTTAACAACAATATACTAGTATTAGACTCCAAATATCTTAAATGTTTCCCAAGTGATGCTGGGAAATCTGATAAAAGTCCTTGAAAAGGATTCAAGTAAACAACAAGCAACTAGACTGGGCAAAGAATGCTATTTTAAGAAGGATGGATGCTGCTGTATTTTGGGTACCACTGAGTCAATTCAAATTCATAGAAATTGCATGTGGCAGAGTAGAACTGCCCAGTAGGGTTTTCTTGGCTATCATTTTTATGGAAGCTGATAGCCAGGTCTTTCTTTCAAGGAAATGCTAGGTGGGTTCAAAACCTCCAAACTTTTAGTCTGCAGAATTATTTTTAAATAAATTCAATATTTCACCACTATAGACAAAATTAGTCTAAAATTCTAAGTTGTCTATTTCACTTACATATATAATCCACATTGTTGTTGTTGTTATTATGAGCCATCGAGTTGGTTCTAACTCATAGCGACCCTATGCATTGTCCAGTCCTGTGACATCCTCACAATTGTTAGTTTGAGCCCACTGTTGTTGCAACCATGTTAATTCATCTCATTAAGGATGTCTTTTTTTTGCTGACCCTATACACCTGGGGAGTCTTGGTGTGGTTCTGTGGGCTAATGTGTCAGACTGCACAAAGTCGTCTAACTGCAAGGTCAGTAATTCAAGCATACCAGCTGCTCTTTGGAAACCCTATACAGGGTCGCTATGAGTCAGAATTGACTCGACAGCACTTCATGACAACAAATATACCTGGAATCCTAGTGTGGCGCTGTGGGTTAATGCACTGGACTGCGAAGTCAGTTTGAACCTCAAGGTCGGCAGTTCAAGCTCACCAGCCACTCTCCTCAGAAACCCTATACTGGGTCACTTTGGGTCAGAACTAACTTGACGGCACTTAACACCAGCATACTTTCCCTGGAGTCCTGGTGTGGCTCTGTAGGATAATGCACTGGACTTCAAGGTCCGTTTGAGCTGCAAGGCCAGTGGTTCAAATCCATCAGCTGCTCCTCGGAAACCCTGTACAGAATTGCTAAGAGTCGGAGGCAACTCAATGACACTTAACAACAACAACACTTTATCAAGCATGATATTCTTCTCCAGGAACTGGTCCCTCCTGATAACATGTCCAAAGTATAAGAGATGAAGTCTCGCCACACTCACTTCTAAGGAGCATTCTGCCTATACGTCTTCCAACACAGATTTATTTGTTCTTCTGCAGTCTGTGGTACTTCCAATATTCTCTAATGTTGTTGTTGTTATGTGCCTTTGAGTCGGTTCCGACCCACAGCGACCCTGCATAAGGTTTCTGAGGAGCAGCTGGTGAGCTTGAACTGCCGACCTTGCTTTGCAGTCTGATGCATTTGCCCACAGCGCCACACCAGGACTCCATACCATAACTTAAATGCATTGATTCTTCTAAAGTCGTCATTATTCATGGTCCAACTTTCCCATGCATATGAGCTTACTGAAAATACCATAGCTTAGGTCAGGCACACCTTAATCTTCAAAGTGACATCTGTGCTCTTTAACACTTTAAGGAGGACTTTTGCAGCAGATGGGCCTAAAGTAACATGCCTTTTGATTTCTTGATTGCTGCTTCTATAAGTGTTGATTGTGGATCCACGCAAAGTGAAGTCTAACAACTTCAATCTTTACTCCATTTATCATGATGTTATATTGAACCAGTTGTGAGGATTTTCTTTCCTTTACGCTGAGGTACAATTCATACTGAAGGCTATAGTCTTTGATCTTATCAGTAAGTATTTTAAGTTCTCTTCTTCCAGCAAGTAAGGTTGTGTATCTGCATATCTCAGGTTGTTAATGAGTCTTCCTCCAAGCCTGATGCCGCATTAGTCTTCATTTAATCCAGCTTTCACAGATTATTTGCTCAGCATACAAATTGAATAAATATAGTGAAAGGATACAACACTGGCACACATCTTTCCTAATTTTAAGCCTTTCAGAATCCTCTTAGTCCATAATAGTGAGAATCCTAATCCAATAAAGGATTCCTGGTGTGGCGCTATAGAATAAGCACTGGACTTAGAACCACAAGGTTGGCAGTTCAAACCCACCAGCCACTCCTTGGAAAATACAGGGTCACTATAAGTCAGAATCAATTTATGGCACTTAACAACAGCAACAACACAAGAAAGCAAGTAATCAAGCACTGATATATACTCATTAGGGGACTTACAGGCTAAGGGTGTACGCCTCATTAATTTTTCTAAAAGAATTTCAGGTATTTTTAGGTTATTATGTTCCAGGATCCCTGACAGCACTCAGCTGCTAACCTAAAAGTAAGCTTGTCAAATCCACCAACAGCTTTAAAGTAGAAAAGATCTGGCAATGTATTTGCATAAAGATTATACAGCCTAGGGAAATCCTAATCTTTACTACAGGGTTGCCAGGAGTTGGAATCAACTTGATGACACATAGCAAGAGAACAACAAAAGTAATTCAGTATTATAGTTCATTAATCAAATTTTTTGTCTACTGAAGTAGCAATAGAATCATATGTTCATTCAGAAAAATAGCCAATACAGATATTATCTCAAATTTACATAAATAAGTTCAAAATTAAAATATAAGTAAAGTGGAATATCCTACCTGGTGGATTTTGAATTTCGTGTTGGTGATTCTGCACCTCTTAAAATTTGTCTGAAATACTTTAAAAATAATTAAATTAATTAGACTGTTATGTGATATTGAATATGGTACTTTACCCTATTACTTACTTCCCAGTTTAAGGAAAGAATTAATTAAATCAAGTGAAAACAGCCACAGTAAAATACGGTAAGAATTAAAATGCTATAAATGGAGATAATTAGACTGTTTATTTCCATAGTTCTGTAAAACAATTTGTAAACAGACGAATGCTGTTTCTGCATCACTGCAGAGTTACAAAACAACTTAAGCATATGGAAAATCAGGTGAATATATAATAATCTCAATATATCTAGTCACATAAATAAAATCCTTGTTTTGGTATTCAGAGTTCTTTTAACAATTAACTTCTAAACGCCACTAAATTATTCAGTAGCAAAGAGTATCTATTTTCTCAATTAAGCTTGTTTTACTTTTGTTAGTTTTATTACTTGAGTCATCTGTCTAACAATGTCAGAGCCACTAAAATTTTGTATAAAAATTTTCAAAATAAATTAAAATTTTAACTTACCTCATCACTATGGCAGAACATAGGGGTAAACACATTTTCCAAGAGAGAAAGAACATGTTCATATGCTTCAAAAAGACATCTCATAGTTTGAAGTTTCACAACCTCTATATATGGGCCTTCTGCAACTATTTAAAAAGAAATCTATTATAGATATTATTAAGAACAGCATAAATACATTATATATTGTTCTAAAATTCATGGTAGTAACAAGACATTGTAAAATTATGTTTTGCAGAGACTCCACTATACAGTGTAGAAATCAACTAGAATGAGAAATTAGAACAACCAAGTTCCCGTTCTAACCTATTAGTTATATGAAAGTTTTTGTCTCATCAGCGTTTTGGTTTTATCAGTGAAAAAAAAAAATACCTGTCCATGTACAGGACACAGGCAATAAAACAATGAACAGAGAATATGTAGGAAAACTGAAAATTATAAAATAGCAATTGAATTCATTCTTATCATTATCTGGGACTTACTTCTTTGAATCTCTTCAACAATGAAGGGATCAAATCTAATTTTGTCAATACTTTCATCCAAACAATATGTTTTATAAATCTTCTGTAACTCTCCATGAAGAGATAACATTTCATCATTTGATAACTCTGGTCTCAAAATTCTATCATTGAATTCCTCTAGCAAATCAAAGAAAGAGCAAGAAAAATTCATTACTTCAATATAAAGTTATTTATAAAATCTTCATTTTCCTATTCTAACTGTAATCAGTATTAGAAGCAACTATTAAAAGCAATCTAATTCATCATTATAACCTTTTTTAAATGATTTAATTGGGAATTAAACAACTACTCAGATGTAAGCAAAACTCAACCACATATTTTATATTTGAATATAAAATATACAAATACTTGTAAAGTAACACAAATTTGCTACATTTTAGAGTGATAAATTTCTAATATTTTCCTTCAAAAAGTTAATTAATTAATTTCTCATATTAAGAATCATTTAATATTTTGAAATCTGGTTCACTAACTAACAATGAAAACTATGACTTTCTAAAGTTCCAATCAGGATTTTTACCAACATTTTTTCTCCACTACAGAGGCTGTAGACTAGTGGTAGAGCTTAGAATCTGAATAAATGAAGACATTTTTAAAAAGCAAGATGATAGTGGTTGTGGTGGTGTGCTGCGGAAGTGGTTCCGACTCATAGCCACACACTGCATAGGGTTTGCAAGGCTGCAAATCTTTACAGGAGCAGAAAGCCTAGTCTTTCTCCCACGGAATGGCTGGCAGTTTCAAACTGCTGACCTTGAGATTAACAGCCCGACTCGTAACCACTACACTTATCAAATAGTACAGTCAAAATACTGATTGTCTTTCAAAATCTTTATTCTAATCATTGTTCATAAGAACCTTGACCTCGTTGGTTTCTCCAAATGCGGAAGAAAGAAAAGTGACGAGAACTGAAGAGGCTTGGAATCAATTAGTCTAGTACTAACAGAACAGGTGAATACCAGTCTCCATGACTCTGAGACCTTAAGAACTAGATAGTGCCCAACTACCACTGCCAACTGCTATGAAAGGGATCAGACTAGAGGTTCCTGGATAGAATGGGAAGAAATGTGGAATAAAATTATTAAAAACAAAATGACCTGGCTTACTGGTCAGAAAGTGACTGAAGGACCTGAGACTATGGCCCTCGACCACCTTTGAGGTCTGGAAATGAATGCACTCTTGTGACCCAATTATCACTCAAGAAATAGCCAGGCATATAGCAAGAACAACACTAGTAAGGCATGCTCACTACAGAATGGTCAACCATTCAAAAACAAAAGGACAATATTTTCCTAAGGACAGAGTTGAGAAAAAGGATGGAAAGGTGGGTGGAATGGAAATAGGAACCACAGGGAGGAAGTGGGATAATTGTTGCTGCATGGAAGGGATTGCAATTGTTGAGATGAAAAGCATACATTTGTTGAATGTAAAACTGATGATCTTGCCTGTAAATCTTCACTCAATTCACAATAAAACGTTTAAAAACAAAAAGCTTGCCCCTTAATTCTTCTTTGTTTTGTTATGAATGCATTCTTTTTCTTTTTAAAGTTTTTATTGTGAATTGAATGATAGTTTATATGGGAGAACATTGGTTTTATACCATCGATTCATTGCAATGCTTACAATCTCCTCCATATGCATCATCAAGCAACAATATTTGCTTCTATTCTCTCTGGGGTTTTTGTTGTTGTTTGGTGGGGGGGGGATTTACACAAAAACACTCAAGAATATAATATAATCATTTAAACAACCAAAGGGCACATTCTGCAAGACTTCCTCCTGGCTTCCAGCAGCCAGTCTCTCTCCTTCCATAGGTCCAGAGTCCTTAGCTGCTCCCTCTCGCCATGTCCTTATCTCTGCCTCCATCTCTGGTGTTGCTGCTATTCTGGATACGGTCGGTCCTGCATTCCACTTGTGCTCTTCTCCCTTGATCGTCCTAGGGACCTGTTTCTGGACTAACTAAGATTAACTACTCCCCCATTTTTGTTATAAAACTTCTACATTTACAGTGTGACAGTCACAATTAGTCATGATAACAATTACTCACTACTGAATCATAAAGTATCTTATCCCCATCTCTTTTCTACAAACCCATCTAGACAAAATTAAAACTATTCAGTGGGGCCTCTACCTTCCCCTGCACATACTTAAACTAAACTCCCTCTTGAAAACTGGTAAGCCAGTTACTTTGTACCTTTATCATCATCCCCTCATTTATAGGTAGCCAATGTCTAAGTTGCCCGTCCCTATCTACCCTGTATACAGAGGGACTAGGACTGATACTTGATGTGAAGACGCCTTCCCTCTCAGTTGGTATTTTGAGCTACTACATCCATAAATATAAGTCAAGTTCATCAAACTGTAGCAATTTACACTTGCTTCCTATATCAAATATTGTTTTTTATCTTCCTTTAGTCGAGTTCTGATTATCAAGCCATCAAAGCTAAGTCAGATGGGTACTATCTGAAAGTTTGGGCATTCTTGTATGTCTCCCCTCAGTTCTTAACAGCTGGACACTTCACTTTCAGCTTTAGCCTTCCGTGGCTATGTCCTTCTCCATGGGCTCAGGAATTCCCAGCTTTTATCATACTTTCGACCAACCAGCCCTTTCTCTTCTCTCTCTCATCTTCAGGTCAACGGGAATATAATGGAATGCGATTGAATTCAACCCATTTCTTCATTGCTGCCTTTCCCCCTCTTCCACTCACCAGTAGACCAATATGGTCACCAGCAAGCTTACATGCTTGTTTGTGTGTTCCCTTTGAGTGTCAGTCTTGGAGGTGGGTTTGTCCTGAAGGGACTTGATTGCTTTCCTGGATGGCTTCCCAGAGAACAACTTGCTTGTTCTTATAGTAGCTAATCAGACTGCCATTTTTGTTTTGCATTTTTCCCGCTGATCTTTCTTTCAAGATGTATCTTCTGCTGCTCTAGCTGTTCCAGGCTGGTCTGCTTGTCCTTTCTAGTGGGAATGTCCCACCTCAGAGGGTTTTGGATGGGGTTCAGGATTCCACCTAAGGTCTTATACATTGCAAAGGCTCTGCAAGAGACCTATTTCACTGAGCAAGTTCTAGAACTCCTTTTAGGTATTCCATTTAGGTATTCCAATCAGTTATAGGCTGAAGACGGGCTTACAAACTTTCCGTAAACATGTTTCCTGATATTTTTTTCTATCTCACTTAAATGTCTATTTTACAATAGTAGGTGAGGGAAACCAGTATTCATAAGACAGTCAAGCATGTTAACACTATTTCCCCTCTTCATACTATGCCTCAATCCCTGTATCACAGAGCTCTGTTGTTCCAAGGTTGAACATACATTACTATTTACTTCTGTCCAATTTAGCCCACCTGTCCCAGTGTTTCCCTATCTACCTTGTTCTTCCGCCCTCCTCCACCTTCTTGTGTATTGCCCTCCCCAATACACAAACTACAATGTGTCTACCACCTACCCTGTGCTCTACCGTCCCCTCCCGCCATCCCCTTCCCCACCTTATGGGTAACTAACAATTTTTTTTTTTTCCTTTTAGTATGTTGTCCCTTAATCCTTGAATATCTAAATTAAAACACAGAGGAAAAGATGGAGCTTTAAAAAGGAAACATGAAACAGTACCTAAGATTTGAAGGATAATACCCAATGATATAATATACATGTAAGTCAAGTCCAAGAAGAAACAAAGGGAGAAAGTGGGGCAGTAAATTTGAATAATAGCCAAGAATTTCCTAAATTAATGAGAGACCCCAACCCACATATCCAAGAAGTTTAGTAAAAATCAAATTGAATAAATATGATAGTCAAATTGCTAAAAAGAAAATATTTATAAAAATAATCAGAGGGAAAGGGACATACTACATATAAAACAACATGAGAATGGCAGCTGCTTTCACATTAGATATAATGGCACCCAGGAAACAATGGATGATAAATTCAAAGGACTGAAAGAAAGAAAAACAACAAAAACCAACTGTCGACATAGAACTCCACATTCAGTGTAAATATCATTCAAAAATGAAGACAAGAAAATCCAACTATTGGTCTCTATACTCATCTGGAGTCGAACACAGTAAAAGAAACCAAAGACTGAAGGAAGATACTAGCCCACAGGGCTAATAACCCACATGCATTACAGCCTCATCTAACCAGAGGTGAACAGAACTAGATGATGCCCGGCTACTGCTACAGCCCATTCTGACCAGTGACACAATTGAAGGCCCTGGTAAAAATGACAGAAACATAGAACAAAATTTCAATCATAAAAAAGATCAGATATACTAGAATGATGGAAACTGGAGGAATTCCCAAGACTTTTAATCTAGGACTGAAACCACTCCTAGACTTATCTTCCAGTCAAATAATAGATTAGATTATAAATAAAATAATATCACCTGTGAGCAATGTGTGTGTTAAACAATTAACAAATGGGATCAAACAGTCACCATTTACCCAAAAGCAAAGATGAAAGGTTTTCTGAGGAGTGGTTGGTGGATTTGAACCACCAACCTTTGGTTCAAACAGACCTTGAAATCAAGTACTTATCATATAGCACCACACCAGAATGCCATAAATTGTTGGGTAGGGTGTGGGGGTGGTGGTATACTGTCAAGTTGGTTCTGACTCATAGCAACCCTGTATTGTTGATGTGGCACTACAGGATAAGCACTGGACTGCAAAGTCGGTTTGAACTGGAAGGTTTTTGTTGTTGTCAGGTGCCATCGAGTCGGAACCAACTCACAGCGACCCTATGCACAGCAGAACCAAACAATGTCCAATCCTGGGCCAACCTCACTACCGCTGCCACACATCCTTCTCCAGCAACTGTTTCCTTCGGACAATATGTCCAAAGTATGAGAGACGAAGCTTAGCCATCCTGGCCTTCAAGGAGCACTCTGGCTGC